GAAGGTGATTACTAAAATCAATTTGGATTATAATATTTGTTTCGCTGTGTATAAAGTCTAATTAATTCTACTCTTGATTGTATTAGTAATCTGAATGTGATTAATTGAAATTGGTCTAAAGAAAGTAAAGAAATTAGAAATAGAGTTTGAAAGACCATTAAAAATCATCTAAGCGAAGAATTTTGGGTAAAAATCATCTAAGCGAAGAATCTATTCAACCCCCCTTTTAGATTCATGTTCAACCTAAGACCAACAGTCCGACGTTAAGGCAAGGTAGAAACTCACCAACTTTGTCACGCTCGGCGTGATGCATCCCATGCCTAGCTTGACCTCATTTGGGTTTCACACTCATCAGTATGAATGCAAGCTCGAGGCCAAAAACTCAAGCCCGACGCCCAACGTGTTTTCCAGAAACGCAGCATGAACAAAACATCACCAAAATTCATAAGTAATCATATAATCATCTTTTTACCAATCTAATCGGTTAGAAACACTTATTTTTTTACCCAAAAACACATTATATAACTTTAATTCATGAATTTACATACTAATTAACAATAATCAAATTACTCAAGAATCCTAATCCATAGAGACATCCTAATGAATTCAATTATCATCCATATCATCAATTTTACCAAATAATACAACAAACACATTTATAAATCAATATAAAACCTAATTGAATCGTCAATTGCAATGTTAGAACAGAAAATGGAAAATCTTAGGAATTTAGGATTGCTCCCACAGGCACTAGAGTAGATTAACAAAACAAAAAAAAATTGGAAGTGATTGAACAACTAGAAACAAACTAGTAGTCCAAGAAAATTTGTGGAATCAAGTGTATTTTCTTTAAGTTGTTCTTCTCGGCTTTTACTTGATCATACTTATATATATTTTTTTAATTCTTTTCTTTTTCTGAATTCAAATGTATATTCCAGAGAAGATACTTGCCTTTTGATTTCAAATTTTTCACAATTCCAAAGTATAGAAACCGGATCTACTAGAATGAAAAGTTTCAAGTGAAAATTGATGAACTAGTGCACTAGTTTTAAGCTTTTGGTTGGATTCTTTTGTTCTCTTTTTTTAACAATTTTGAATGATAATGCTCTGTATTTTCTCTGTTTTCCAGCCACCAAACTTTTAAAATTTGAATCCAAAACAAATAGTGCACTAGAAGTAAGATGATTCACTTAAAATTTTCAAGTTACACAAAGTTGATTCAAGAGAATTATGGAAAGTGATTTGAAAACTTAAGTACACAAAGGAAACCTAACACTAAGAGTTCACCAATGATCTACTAGTGAACATGAACTCAAATATGTAAGACAAAAGCACATATAGGTAGGCACAAAGAAAATAAGCAAAATCCGAGACCAATAGTAGACACAAACAACACAAAAAAAATTAGGTTAAACAAGCTAGTCTAGGAATTTTCAACATACAAGAACTACACATGACTTTCTAAGACAAAACAAGTGATTCAAAAATAAAACTAATACAATGTAATGAAGTCCAATCACGGACACATGCTAAGGAAATGAGAGACTCAAACAAAGTAAAAAAAATAAAGCACAAGTTGAATCCTATTTGTGTTATTGCGGATTGAAACTCAAGGTGGGATCAACAATGTGGATCTATAGAACAATTTGGTTTCAAAAATATAGATCCAAATAGAAACTCAATTTGTGACAAATCACAACCCAAGAACACAAGAACACAATCGGTCAAAACTCAAGAACACTTATCTCCAATGAAGAACCTTGCTCTTGATACCAAAATTGATGGCAAAGCTAGGAGAAGTGAAAGATGAACCACTCCTTGACTTCACCAAGTGTAGGATCCTCTTCTTGGAGACTTGAACCGAATGGATTGAGCTTGTTTGATTGATGAACTCGAAGCAAGAAAGCCTAGGCTAGAGAAGGAAGTATCCTAGCTTGAAGGCTCAAAGGATTGCTCACTTCAAAAGGTAAGAACTAGTTTCCTGGGGTTTTGAAGGCAATTCTCTCACGGTGACTCTCGTAGAAATTTGGCTGAATAATGTTCAAAAATTTCATATATGAAAAAGTGAATACAAAGTGGAGTATCAAAGGATTTATAGGTCCAGATTTGAGTGCACTTGGCGCCAAGGTGAAAGCTTCACATGTGGCGTTAAGATTTGAATTCAAATTTTGAAATTTGAATTCAAATCTCTCACCACATGTACTTAGCCGTGAACCAAGGAGCTTAAATGCACTTAGGTTTAATTTGAGTCACATTTAGGGTTGATTTTGAGTCACACATGATCAGCCAGGAGTGGTGCTATCCATGAGACTCAAAATGCAACTTAAATGCATCCTAAATTAAACCTAGTTTTCCCTAATCACTTTAATCCATTAATCCTCCATAATTCCTATGCTAATGACCGAAATACATTGGTCAATGAAATACAATGAATAGGGAAAATTACAAGAATGAAAATGAGCCCAATATTGGGTGTCAAAAGCCTAAAGGCTTATGAAGCCCAATTTTAGGCCCAATAAGCCTAAAGTCTAAAATTCCTAATCTAGGGTCCCAAATACAAGACCAATACAAAGTAAATTCCTATTCTATGAATATGCAATAAAAATGGGCTGCCCCCGTTCTTCTAAAGAAGATGACCCCATTCAACACCTTTCCACCAAATTTCACGATCTCTAGACCCAATTTGAATCCCAGGTTGCCACCTTTGAGTCCCAATATTCTACCATGCAAGCTGCGATTGATTGTATTAGTAATCTGAATGTGATTAATTGAAATTGGTCTAAAGAAAGTAAAGAAATTAGAAATAGAGTTTGAAAGACCATTAAAAATCATCTAAGCGAAGAATCTATTCAACCCCCCTTTTAGATTCATGTTCAACCTAAGACCAACAGTCCGACGTTAAGGCAAGGTAGAAACTCACCAACTTTGTCACGCTCGGCGTGATGCATCCCATGCCTAGCTTGACCTCATTTGGGTTTCACACTCATCAGTATGAATGCAAGCTCGAGGCCAAAAACTCAAGCCCGACGCCCAACGTGTTTTCCAGAAACGCAGCATGAACAAAACATCACCAAAATTCATAAGTAATCATATAATCATCTTTTTACCAATCTAATCGGTTAGAAACACTTATTTTTTTACCCAAAAACACATTATATAACTTTAATTCATGAATTTACATACTAATTAACAATAATCAAATTACTCAAGAATCCTAATCCATAGAGACATCCTAATGAATTCAATTATCATCCATATCATCAATTTTACCAAATAATACAACAAACACATTTATAAATCAATATAAAACCTAATTGAATCGTCAATTGCAATGTTAGAACAGAAAATGGAAAATCTTAGGAATTTAGGATTGCTCCCACTACCCATCTCATCTTGAAATCCCACATATGAATGGACTCATTTCCCTCCCCTGTACCTTATTGTGATGATCTCAAGCAATTTGATGTAATTAATTTTTAGATGATCTGAGCACTTTTTCTCAGAGCTTCTTCCTTCTCTTTCTTCTCTCTCAGTTCTTCCAGAATGTAAAATGAGGCAAATTAGGGTAAATTTTGTCTAACCCCTTTCTTAAAGGCTCATTGAACCAGGTCAACTTGACCTGTTTCCCTTCTCCCATTAAATTAAATAAATAAATTTAATTTAATAAAACTACCTTATTACTTTATTTAATAAAATAATTCTTCACATTTAATTCCAAATAATAATTATGAATATAATATAATAATATTTAATTACAAAATTACTCATTATTTAATGATATTTGTTTTTAAAAAATTAGGATGTTACAGTCTTTGGGCAACTATATATGAGCATTGGTGATAGAGTTGAAAGGCCCAAGCGTACAACAAGAAGCCCATTAAAATTCAAAGATTATATAACTTAGAGAATTGGGCTTTTAAATAGGCCAGGTGTTGAGCCAGCAATTTGAATTCAGTTACATTTTTGTTTTCCCTAAATCGGTGTTCTATATGTGTAGGCACCTAAATCATTAGGTCTTTCTTTTTATAGTGGCTGTATTGGAATTCATCAAGCATGCAATGAGCAACTTTCTTAGCAATAACCTAGTGTAGAATCGTTTTCTCTAGCAATCCTCTATTATTTGGTGCTTTCATTCTCCTCATGCCTCCCCGTTCTTCTAAAGAAGATGACCCCATTCAACACCTTTCCACCAAATTTCACGATCTCTAGACCCAATTTGAATCCCAGGTTGCCACCTTTGAGTCCCAATATTCTACCATGCAAGCTGCGATTACCCAGAACCAAGAATCCTTATCCACCATCATGGCCACCCTTCGTACTCATTTTGGGAATCCAGGTTCGTCCACCTCTGGGGCCTCTATTTCTTCTTCCTTTCCCTCGGTTGACAGTACCTTTAGTTTTTTGGCGGGCCAATGGCGGGCCGGGCCAAAACGGGCCGAGCTGGCCCGTTTTGCCATCCCTAGGAAGGGAGGTGCGGGGAAGGGGGGGTGCGGAGAAGAGAGGTGTAAATTTAGGAATTAAAATTTTTTTTTTAAAAGGGTAATTTAAACATTTTATATATTTTTTTTTAAAAAAGGGGGTTTGTTTATACGAGGGTGGAGGTGTGTTTAACATCTACCATAAAAATGGTGTCAAACAAGTAAAGCCCAAGTGAGGAGCACCTAGGCCCACCAAGCCCATTGAGCCCACTAAGCTCTGTCGCAATATATCAATTAAGGTTCTTCTTAAATCCCTCGCTAACCCCTCGCAAATATGTCCGTCGCAAATCCCTCGCTAACCCCTCGCAAATGTATCCTTCGCAAACCCCTCGCTAATCCAACGCAAATCCATCAAGGCATATCAATTGAGTTCCCTCCCAAATGCCACGCTAATCCCTCGCGAAACCTTCACAACATATCTTTTGAGTTTCCTCGCGAATCCCTCGCTAATATCTCACAAAACCTTCCTAATTTATCTATATATACATTATTCTCTCATGAATCCTTGTAGATATGCCACTTAATTTGATATTTTAAATAAATTTAAATCAACTACATAATTTTTTTCAATTGGACATGATTTAAAATAAAAAACTAAATTGTTAAATGTCTTACAAAATCCAACTTGTGCATACTATCTTAAAGAAACCCAAACTAATCAATTTCTTACAAAAAGAAAAGCCAAATAATGAGTCATCCTAAATAGTAATCAACCTAAGCTAGTAAAATCATCATCTCGTCCTTAATCCTCCCTACGTTGGTTGGTTGATGGTGTTGTTGATGGTTGAACTGCCTGAATTATCTATCTCATCATCTCTGGTAATTGTGTTTGCAAAAAAGAGGCCAATGCAGTATTTATAACTGTAGTGACCCGTTCTTCTGTCATAGGCGTAAGATTTGTAGAGGAACTTGCAACCTCTGGAGATGAAGCTTGTGTAGAGCTACTAGTTCCAAGATCCAAGCTATGCCCCATGCCATGAACTCTTTTCTTCTTGTTTTTACCTGCAGCTTTTAACCAAAGATCAGAATCAATTACAAGATGAGATGAAGTGTCTTCTCCATATTTTTGTGTCATTAATTCTTCATATGTTTCCTACAAATAATAAACAAAAAAAAAGTGAAATAGTAAGAGGTTAAAAAAGTACATAATCAATCTTAAAATATAAAATAACATACAATAAATTTCTTTGCCCTAGTTGAGACAAATTCACCATCATTACTCTTAACATCCAACTTCTATTTGGTCTCATTACTCTTGTTTTTTATTTCACAAATTAAAATAATAATGCCTAGATGAATAAAAAATATAGATAAAAAAGGGAAAGTAGAGAAGGCATTAGTTAAGCTCATTATATATGTAAAGGTTAGCTTTAAATCCAATACCAATTATGACATTAGTATCAGAGCAATAACACTTAATTTTTTTTTGTTCTCTATATGTTTAGGTTTGCACATTATGTGCCTATAACTCTTAGTTTTAGTTAAAATACCATGCAGTAGATAAAATATAGTTTTAGCTATATCATACATTGTGTGCTAGATACATACTACTATGTCAAATACAACTAGTATTAACACATTCGTCCAAATGATACATTTATGTGTTAGATACATACTACTATGTCAAATAAGACTACTAACATGACAAGATTCCTAACTGATGATGCAAAACGATTTTATATCTTCTAAAAGTAGTAAAATTAAAAAAATGTTAGATTTAGTTTGTGAATATCCTCCATGTGCTTGAATTGGAATAGGTGCCTGCGAAGCTGGAACTCCCAGCAGTTTCCATAAAGGACAAAGCTTGTATATAGTTTCATTTTCATAGGTTTTGTGTGTCAAGGTGTGGGATCATGCGATTAAACACAATTATATAAAGAAATTTTTAGAACTAGAACATGTAAATTACTCATTGAATATTGTGAATTTGAAAAACTCTCATAATTGTATTCTCTAGAACCGAAACAACAGGAAATAAGTGTTGTCCTTCCTTAAATTGGTCCGAGCCAATTCCGCTCTATGCCTATGTTTGATTGAAAGTGTGATTAAGACAAATGCATCAATTATTAAATGAATTATCAAGATTAAATAAGAATATACATTAATCCCTAAATCTTGAAATGAATTATCAAGATTAAAAAACATAATAAAAAGTCACACAAATTTTAAGTAATTATGTAACTTTAAATTTCTTTAACATTAATTATTTTTGTATAATTTTTATTTACTCCACTAACTCTCGGTTTTTTCTCATTATGTATATATATATATATATATATATATATATATTACTAAATCACATTCTTGTGAATATAGGCTCTTTCCTTATCAACTGAATCAGCTTTTTCTAATATGTTTGTTTGCTTTGAATCATACAACACTGAATGAAGAAGCTCACCTGCAATTACTAATTCAGCTTTTAGTAACCTCTTCTTTTCTCACTCTGTTGCAATTTGAATTTTCTACAGTAGTTGTATTTCTCTAGCAAAGCATTGCGTTTAATAGTCAAAAAAAGACAAATCAACAAAGTAAATATAACTTATTCTTTAATGAGGACAACATACAAGCAAAATTCAATAAAAAAAAAAGGACAGAATCATAAAAATACTATATTGACTAAATTCTACCAAGCATAACTAAATAAAAATAAATATTATTTATAAAAAAACAACAAAACAAAATTGCACTGCAAAGTAGACTTGAATTGGGTTCATTCAGGAAATGTCATGTATCACCCCGATAAATCCATTGATCTGAGGTCATCACAACTAGATTCCACAAATTCAACTAGGTAGTTGCCAAGCATACTATGGTCATTATGGCCATTGTTGCCAAGTATACTCATGCCTAATAGTACATACAACTAGCCACACATTCACGTAAAATGAAGTAATTTAGGAAAATTCAATTCTAAAATTAGTTAAACCATAAAAGAACATAATATTATATTAAATGATAAATTCAATTGCTACATTTATATTATTCCCATCATGAATCTAACAACATACAGGGAAAACAAAAGCTTGTAGAAAACTACAATCCAGTCAGAACGTGTTTGAATTGGAGTCACGACGTGAAAAATCACGTTTAATCAGAAGTAAAAAATAATAATTTTCACGTAAATTAATACATGGACGTGGAGAGAGAAGATAAAATTATGTTTGAAAATGAAAATCAAACACGCACTCCGTAAACAGAAAAATTGAAAATGACACATAAGAAAATTACAAGTAAAACTAAAAATGAAAACTTGACAAAACAATAATCACGGTCAATTTTTTCAAATTAAAACAAAAGGATATGCTTATTCGGATTATTACTCTTCAGCCTTTTTTTTTTTCAGAACAGCTTATCATCAAAATGCTGCTGACAGAACTTCTAGTCAAAATAACTCATTTTATGCTATAATTAAGCAAATTTAACAGTTTGAGATTGAACAAAGAACCAGTAGACCAAAACAGCATCAGTCACTTACAATAGCAACTTTGTTTTCACCAATAAATGCAGTAGCTTCATCAGCAGATTTAATTTCAGTTGAAGCAGGACCACTTTGTTTCTTCAAATAGTCACATAGAAAATCAGCATTCGCATAATCTTGCCCGTAAACTAAATAAAAAAAAAAACAAAATCAAAACTATAGGTAAACAAAATTACCTCGGGAGCAAGCTTCTTACAGAGGCCACACCTAGAAAGGAAAAAACAAAAACCATATGAAAACCGCAATGCACTAAAATTGATAACAATCAATAGCAAAGAAATCGATTTAGACCTAAACGAAATGCAGCAAAATTATCAGATAGAACGAAAATTTAGACCAAATGATTCAAAATGCAAATCCAACACCAATAGTTGAAACGAATACACAAAACGAATAAAACATTACCAAAATCAGAGTAAAATCTGGACATTAGAACATGCAGAAAATTCAAACAGGAAATTGACAGAACTAAAAGATCTACGCAAATGAAACGGATCAGGAAAAGTAAACAAAAAAAAATGAAAGAATCGAAACGCACCATGGTGCGTAGAACTCGACAACATCATGCTTGCTGACAGTGTGGTGGAAGTTGGAGTGATCCAATGTGAGAACGAGCTCTTTGGCATCGGACTCCTCGGCAGAGATCTGAGACGCGAAGAGAGGATTCGTCTGCCATTGGTGTTGACGGCGGTGGGAACGAGTGCCGTGGTGGAAAGTCTCTCTGATGAGTGAAATATTAAACCCGTGTGAAATTGTGATGTGTCTTTGTGCTACTTTTTACTTTTTATTTTTTATTTTTGGGTGCTCACAGAGAATATTAATTGGACGGTTTCAATTTTAAGATTCAGTCACCCACGTAATTTTATGCAACAGAGCGTGTTATCGTCTTAATGTTTTAAGGAGGCTAGAGATTTAGAAATTTAAATTATTTTAATTTCAGTTTTTATATTTTTAAACATTATAGTTATACGAGTCAATTTAATTTTTTTAAAAGATTTAATGTACATTTAGTAATTTGATTTATTTTGAGTAAAATTAATTTTCAATATATATATATATATATATATATATATATA